GTCTTTCCGAAACTCCACGAACTCACGTACGCGTATCTGGCATGGGGGCGTGTGCACCCGGCGGTGGTTTTCTGGCATCTCTGTTTCATATTATTCTGTCCTCTCTCTCTTTCTCTCGCTTCTTTCTCTCGCTCTCTCTCGCTCTCTCTCTCGCTTTCTCTCAGATCCTCTCGCACTCATCACTCATTCGTCATTCCATTCGCTCTCACCATTCGCGCGCATTTACAAAACCTATAACACATTAAAATCAATCATATGAAAATGAATGGAAGTTGACACCGCCCCTACTGAAAATAAAGGACTGGAAAATTTTTGTTCTTTCAATGAAGGAATCTCTTTTACTTAATCTTTTTCGAAGGCGAAGACAAACAAGTCGATTTCGCCACGGCAGAGATGCCAGAAAAGCACCGCCGTGTGCACACGTCCCCATGCCAGATACGCGTACGTGAGCTCGTGGAGTTTCGGAAAGTCGACAAAGGCAAACTGACGCATGCCCTCTTTCTCGATTCTCCGAAGCTGCCCGAAGTAATTTCGGATCACCTCGTGGGAGTCGAGAGAGAAAGGCTTACATTTGCCTTCTCGCTCTAAACAACTGAAATCCGACCTCCCGTCAACGGCATACGATTTGGATTCTCGAGCCGAGATTCTCGACTGCCCAGGCATTTTTACTTTCCAACCTATGTAGGCGTACATAAGCAAAGTACCCATAATGAAAAAAAAATTTTGTAAATTTTGTAAAATTTATTTTACGGAAATACACGTTTTAAGACCTCCTGATCATATTTTAATTATTGGAAAAAAAGACATTTTTTTTTATTCCCATGTATGAGCACACATATGTATATTATCAATACGATTTTTGAAAATCAAAATACTTTAAGATTGAAAATTAATAAATTAAAATGAGATTCCACTCTTTACCAGTATTGTGCACGCTGTGGTATTTTTCAATAAGAAGAGTTCTTACTTTTATAACATAAACAAAACAGTAGAATTAATAATTGCAGAAATTAATTAATAATGATTTTCCTCGATTGTTTTGAAATAACCGTATCAATTGGTTATGACGAACTAAATAGAACTAACTAGAAACAAAGGAAAAGTGATCCCGTTTGAAAGTTTAATACAAAGTATGGGTTGTATCTTAAATTTTAAAAGCACATAGTCGAATATTTTTAAAGGTACAAAACATAGCGTTTCATTGTAGAACAGTAACATAAGTTAGCAGGTAATGTCATAAAACTGTTTTTCCCAGCTATATCCCTTTTTACCTGAAGTATAAGGTAAAAAGTACGAGCTAGAAGGTACGACTATCCGAAAATCGTTCAAATTTTATCAATGTAAATGAAGCGGCCTTTCCATCAGAGTTAAATACAAAATTTTGTAATTTCTGTGAAAACAAAACTTTCAGTAAATGTACGTGGTGCTTGAAATTTTTATGTTTTGACTGTTTTTGTGAAAAGTACCATCCAGATTCATGTACTTCGTACATTGAAAATAACATATGTTAAATGTAATCGGTTAAATTTAACTTTAAAAAAAAATATTCGAAGGTCAGACAAAAATATAATGTCATATTTAGTGTACGCTTAAAGTATGATTGAAAAAATAAAAAAAAAAAGTTCAAGCAGGGTTCGAACCAGCAGAGCAGAAGAAGTTCGGAACTTACAGGCAAAGACCTCATCATTCACGCCACGCTGATTAGTGGTGAACATAGTTCTATTTCTGAAAATAAGTACCTGTAATAACTTTAATAATATCTCAAAATAAAACCTAACCCAACACCTGGTACCATTCCAACTTTTCCTTGTTAGAAACGAGTTTTCAATTTGTCTTAGCGAAAATCGCAATCACATTTTGCACATTATTCTAAAACATTTGTGGTATTTGTTTTCAATGCGATTTAAGTAAGCATGTAATGTATAAGATTTCATGTAATGTTTTCTTTTCTAGAGAAGATAGAGAAAAAGTTTATATAATTTTTTTTATATGTAAGGCGTCGGGAAAAGGCGAGGCCCAAGCCGTGGCGCTGGCAAGGGACCGCGTCTGGCCTTCGTCCGTCAAAACTCCCACCCCTACCGATGGGGGAGAAGGCTGACGACAAAGGCGAGGGTCTAGGCCCAGGACGGGCTCATTTGTTTTTCCGACGCTGAAAGAACGGGAATAAAGCATGTATACGAATACCCTGCGTATTTCTTAATTCCTAATTCCATTCTACGCGTCTGCCTAACATATATAAAATTTAATTCGTCCTAAGATTTATATGAAACATTTAAAAGATTTTTTATACATTATGCCTATACATATATCGGAACAACTATGAATCAAGAGGTATAATCATTATTATCCATGCACTGATTATAGTCAAAGTCTAACCGGACTTTGAAATGAGAACATAAAACTTAAATGTAAAGTTTCATTTAAATTCATTTAGCTATTTATATTCAATCGTATTAATAATATACATATGTGCGCTCATACATGGGAATATAAAAAAATTTCTTTTTTTTCAATAATTAAAATATGATCAGGAGGTCTTAAAACGTGTATTTCCGTAAAATAAATTTTACAAAATTTTTTTTTCATTATGGGTACTTTGCTTATGTGCGCCTACATAGGTCGGAAAGTAAAAATGCCTGGGCAGTCGAGAATCTCGGCTCGAGAATCCAAATCGTATGCCGGTGACGGGAGGTCGGATTTCAGTTGTTAAGAGCGAGAAGGCAAATGTGAGCCTTTCTCTCTCGACTTCCACGAAGTGGTCCGAAATTACTTCGGGCAGCTTCGGAGAATCGAGAAAGAGGGCATGCGTCAGTTTGCCTTTGTCGTCTTTCCGAAACTCCACGAGCTCACGTACAGTCCTCCGCTCACTTGAAGTTCCGCGGAAGGAATGCGGGAGAAGTAGAAGGGGCACACGTATTCCCACGCACACATTGGTCTCTAGCTCGCTATTCGTCGCGGCAGTTACACACACATGTGGACTGCCTGAGAGCAAGGGAGCGAGACAGATAAATGGGCGGTCCGACTCCCGTTGCCCCTGTGCCGTCTCGCGGGACATCAAGTCAGCGGACCGCAGTACGCGTATCTAGCATGTGTGAGTGTGCCACCCGACGGTGCTTTTCTGGCATGACTGGTTGCAACCATATTTTAGTACTTGATATTGCAAATAATTTTTAACATTTGTAAATTTTAATTTCAATATATAGCTTAACCGGAATCAAACTTGGTTTTTATTATACAAAACAAAATAACACGGGAAAGAAGGTCAAAAATAAAATAGAAAAATTATAGAACAATGTTATCTTCATTTTTCACAGTACATTCAATATCCAGCTTATATGTAAAATTATTCCCTCAACATTTTTTCCTTTTGTCTGGCAAGCTTCTTCTTACTAAGTTTCTTTTTCGAAGGCTCTTCTTCTGGGCTCTTTATGACGAAATCTTCTTTTTCGGTTAAAATTACTTCAATGTGACATGGGGAACTCATGTAAGCTATGAAAATGTATAAGCATAATTAAATGCAGATCTGTCACCAAAAATTGGATGTTTTAAAGAATAGTAATTGTAAATACTAACGGTTGATACGACCATGAGCTCTGTATGTTCTTCTGCGCAACGAAGGAGCATGATTTACTTGAATATGATTAATTACAAGGCGGTCAATTTCTAATCCCCTGACATCTGCATTGCTTTCTGCATTTTTTAAAAGCTGCAGCAAAAATTCTGCTGATTTCTTGGGCCAACGACCTGAAATTGAATACAACAAATATATTAACCGCAAACATATACTTTGAACATTATAAACAGAAATTATTTACTGAATCTTACCTTGGGTAGTGCCAAATTGTTTTGCTTGAGCACATCTACCGACACCGCCATTAAATCTACGGAACGGAACGCACTCCTTGTATTCAATGACATTTTTCAAATATTTCTGCGCCCTTCGCAAAGGCATATTTTTGATGGCACGTGCTGTTTCATGAGTATTCTAAAATACAAAATAACGGTCAATCACATATTTTGATGAGCAAACCGTACCATCACCACGTTGCATTTTGTATATACAACTATCTTGTTACTTTGAAGTTAGATCTTTCGATATACAGTAATTGACTTATTTACCTTAAAATGAACTCGTAAGTTGGAACCTCGTGCTTTGCACGACTTGGTCGCGTTCACCGGCTCGTGAGAGTAACGGCCCATTGCGTTCTGAAATCACAAAACTTCAGTGACAGTTTTTCACAACGGCATCTTAAGACGTAGGTGTCGTAAACGACCCGCCATCACACGACTTCGAAACTCGATAATCATCGTTTACCGAATCTTCTATCTCGCACTTTTTGAACGAAACAATTATTTGGAATCACTTATTTACGAATTGCATAGTATCGACGCAATTATCAATGCAAAATCGCAGATGCAAGTAGATTAAAAAATTGTTTCGGATCGATCTGTACGTACCTCCTCAACAGCACGATTTTAAAGGAAAAGACGTCACGTGTCCAACTAGAAAGAGACTTCCTGAATACGCGGCGCTACCAATATTAAAACATTTACAAGAAAGGATACGAAGAGTATCGCTTACAAATCAGATTACAATTCAAATATTTATTTTTTTATCATTGTTAAACAATATACAAGAATAATTTACTATAATTTTATCATTTGTTCTTCACTTTAATTTATGTAATTGTTCATTTATCAATTAATTTTCAACTTTTACTAAATACTTGGTTATCTTTATTAAATAAAGTAATGATACAGATTTAATAATTATTAAAAAATTTGTGTAATCTACGGCGGAACTATTATAAAGTACATATAATCGCCTATGTTTGAAAGGAATCTTACCCTAGGAACATTTTAAACGAACATCATGCGTGAGTCTGACGTTGTTCCCGGGAAGATTCGTATAACCTCATTCTATTCGCGCAATATTTGCAAATAATATGCATGTTTGCGCGATTTCATGGTCGTTGCTGACAAATTAATGATTGTTCGAAACAAAATTTATGTTTTCTTGTGGCTTATCGAAAAGTGTTTCTCAGCAAGTAATTTGACAATTCGAAGCTTGACAGTTCAGCTTAACGACATTCTGAATTAAGAATATCCCTTTGTATTTTTGAACGAATCTTGCAATGAGAACAATTTCGATAGTCGTACGTGTACTGTGATTTAAACGAATATACTTAGAAATATAACGTAAATTCTCAGTTTATTAATATATATATCTTACTTTCCATAAGTATTAACAAGTGATATTTTTGTGCTTAAAAATTGTGTATTAGTGGTGCTCATTTGACTTTACATACCAAATGTCAAAAAACAAATTAAATTTGACACTACCTCCTGGCTCGATAGAACCAGTTCCAGCTGTGTCTCCTTCGCCACCTGTACCTCCCTTGCCTATTTATTCAGAGCCACCAGTAATTCCAGAGTAATTGAATTTTAATATTAAATTTGATTTTACATTATGCGAAATACAAATTATCTTTATTTATATTTGTCTTTTGATTTTACATTTGTTACAACTATAGCGGAGTTATGGGTAAAATGAGTATAGATGCTATTCAAGAAAGGTTAGAGGAATTAGAAATGGACGAGGAACAAAGGAAGAGATTGGAAAGCTTCTTGGGACAGAAGGAAAAGGTCGGAGAATTATGCGCAGAGGATTTTGAAAAGCTTGGTGAACTTGGTGCTGGTAACGGTGGTGTAGTTATGAAAGTGAGGCACAAAAAATATGGATTAATAATGGCAAGAAAGGTATAACTTGAATTCTTTGTACTTATTTATAATTACTTGACAATCAGTGTATCGAACAAAGATTATTAACAATAAATAAGTAACGTTTCAGCTAATACATTTAGAAGTTAAACCTGCTATAAAAAAACAGATAATTAGAGAACTGAAAGTTCTTCATGAATGCAATTTTGCGCATATAGTTGGATTCTATGGTGCTTTTTATAGGTAAATATTTGTTTTACATAGAACTTTAACTTGTTAAACTGTGCTTTTATTTTACATTAAATATAAAATATTTAATTTGTTACAGCGATGGAGAAATTAGTATATGCATGGAATACATGGATGGTGGATCGTTAGATTTAATACTAAAAAAAGCTGGAAGAATTCCAGAACCAATATTAAGTACAATTACTTCTGCTGTAAGTATTAAAGACAACTCTACTTATGAAAGTTTTTAATTAGCTTATATTATTTTATTTAAGAATTGCAACTTATCCTCTTATAATTATAACTATAAATAACAATATGAAACTACTAAGTTAGAAACACAGTACTATTAACTGAGAATAATTAAATGCTAATTATGATTTGTAATACCAAGGAATATTCAGTAGTAAGTTTCACGCTCTATTATTCCACCTGGAAATTTACGAATGCATAGCCTTCTTAATTCATCATATGTCCACAGAAATGCGCCAAGAGGTAAACTTGGCCAATACCAATAAGCGCTTAAAGGCATAGTCTTTAATACTTTTTCAGTTCCTGGCACATACAACAAGATGCCAGTTAAAATAATTTCAAAAATAAAAGAAAAATTTAGAAACCAATTATCCATTCCTTGTTGGAAGATTGAATTAACTCTTGTTTTACACATTACTAAATCTATAAGTTGTGTTATAACAATAGATATAAAATATCCAGTACGAGCTTCATTTAGTAAATCCATTCTAGTATCATATGTCCATGTTTGGCCGTAAGAATCTCGTAAATCGTTAATAGATTTGTTGTCCCAATCGTACCTTAAACCCAACAAACGATCGGGTAAAAACCCATTTAACATAAGAATCATAAAATAGGTATAAAATGCGGCTAGAGCCTGTGTCATTCCAATTTGACCATATGCAACAGATATTAAACGTTTGTTTACAAGTCTATCATACTGTGGATTTCTTGGTGCACGATACATTATATCTAACTCTGCTTTTTCATATGCCAGTGCTATTGCTGGAAGTAAATCTGTACCGATATCTACGCAAAGGATCATTTCAAGAATAAATGGTAAAGGTATAGCAAATACGATACTACTTAGCATTGGCAACATTTCTGGTATACTTGAGGTTAATGTGTACGCGATAGATTTTTTAAGGTTGTCAAATATTAATCTACCTTCTTCGATGCCAGTTACTATCGAAGCAAAATTATCATCCATGAGGATCATGTCTGCCGCATTTTTTGTAACGTCTGAACCAGTGATGCCCATGGCCACTCCAATGTCTGCTTGTCTCAACGCTGGTGAATCGTTGACCCCGTCACCAGTCACAGCAACAATTTCTCCCAGTCTTTGGCAACTTTCTACGATTAGTAATTTTTGCTGTGGAGATGTTCTTGCGAAAACGATTTCTTCATAGTTCCGTATAATAGTATCCAATTCAGTGTTGTCCATATTCCTCAGTTCGGCGCCAGTGATAATTATCGCATGCGTATCAGTGTCCGTTATTTGGGAATACGACTTGTTTTGTAATATCGCTCTTTCGTACCTAGTTTCGTGTCCCTCGCTTATGATACCGACTTTCTTCGCAATTGCCATTGCCGTTACCGGATGATCACCCGTTACCATTATTACTTTGATACCCGCTGTACGACATTTTCTTACAGCTTCAGGTACAGCCGGTCTCGGAGGATCCAACAGACTTATTAGCCCAACGAATCTGTAACCCGTAATCGGAAAGTTGTATCTTTTTGGGGAGTCGGTGTTGAATTTAAACTCTGGACCATATTGAGTATCGGGTAATTGAAGATCGCAATAAGCCAATACACGTTCTCCTAAATATCCTAACTCTGCACAGGCTCGTCGAGATATCGTATGATCCAGTGGTGTCATTTCTTCAGTTTCTCCTTCAGTAGTTAGTATATGCGTGCAGTTCTCCAGTATCACTTCCGGTGCACCCTTCAGTATCATTATATGCCCATTTTCTTCTCTGTGTATCGACATTTGATACTTGGTTATTGAGCTGAACGGTATTTCTGCAACTTTCGGATATGCTTCGCGGAATATTTCTGTTGGGTGTATGTGCTCACAAAATCTGAGGATACCCGTTTCAGAGGCATCGCCAATTACTTCTCGTTCATCGATAGACTTCAAAAGTGCAAATTCCGCAATAAACTCGGCGCGCAAACAAAGAGTAGCATTCTTAATCATGATATTAAATGCCGGTTTCTCCATTAGCAAATCCTGTTCAACGCCCAACCTTTCTCCTGGTGGAAAATTGTACCTTGTGTGGCCAAACCACAAGTTGGATACGCTCATCTTATTTTGCGTGAGAGTTCCCGTTTTGTCAGAGCAGATTGTCGAGGTGGATCCAAGCGTTTCAACTGCCTCTAAATTCTTCACCAAACAGTTTTTTGTCGCCATCTTTTGAGCTGTCAGCGTTAAGCTCGTAGTAACGGTTACTAGTAAGACACTGGGCACATTTGCTATCACGATGCCAAGTAAATAAGTAAACGCTTTCATTATATTTGGATCGATTATTAAGGATAGTATGAAAAACAGTACACCAAAGAGTACGGAAACAGCGACGATTATTTGGACGAAGTGCCCGATCTCTTTAGCTATTGGCGTTTCGGTTTTCACAAGCTGCGACGTGAGACCAGCAAGTCGTCCGATCATCGTTCGATCACCCGTAGCTATTACTATACCTTTGCCTTTGCCATCCACAGCGAAAGATGAAAAAAAAGCAACATTGGAGGATTCTAAAGGATTGATATCGGTAGGGTAATTTGTTCGAGCTACCGGTTCACTTTCACCGGTGATACTTGAATTTTCAACTCGGAGTCCATCGCATTCGATGATCCTGATGTCGGCCGGTATTTTGTCACCAAATTTAATGTACACCAAATCGCCCGGGACTAAGTCTTCGGTTGCCACTCGTAATCTAACACCGTTACGTATTACCGTTGCAAAAGTGGGTACCATTTTTTTGAACGACTCCATCACCTGTAGGTATTATAAAAAAAAGAAACAGTAAACCTTACATTTAGGGGAGGCAGCTGCGATGACCTTGACCTTGACATATGTTGGTGCCCCCCTTAATAATTAACAAGTTATTAGTATACAGGGTGTTCAGCCATCTCTGGGAAACATTTTAATGGGAGATTCTAGAAGCCAAAATAAGGCGAAAATCAAGAATACTAATTTGTTGATGGTAGCTTCGTTAAAAAGTTATTAACGTTTAAAGTTCCGCCTGTAGAACGGCAATCTGTGAACAGTTCCTTGCACGAGATAGTGGTTCTCACTCAACATGAGAAACTCTACTTAGTGACGTATCGATAGCCATAGAGTTTTGTGAGTGAGAACCACTATCGCATGCACGCAGCCGTACGCAGATTGCCGTTCTACAGGCGGAACTTTAAACGTTAATAACTTTTTAGCGAAATCTCAATCAACAAATTGGCATTCTTGATTTTCGTCTTATTTTGGCCCTCAGAATCTCCCATTAAAATTTTCCCCACGGGTGGCCGAACACCCTGTATACATTGAACAATAAACCGTTCGGATAATTTTGTAGATCCTCAAGCTGATGTTCACACACAAAATATAGAAAGATTGCGGAGGGATATGAGAGCAAATATTTCTCGCTATGGCACTCGTGAATGTCATTATACGAATTATCTCGCAGAATTTTTATTTAAAAGAATTTGTAATTTTTACAATTAATCCTTAATTATTTAAATACTGATTAAATTTTCATTTTACATACTCATCAACTGTTTCTTATATTATACCACAGTAATCGTCTATTCATTATCGATCTATTATATGATTTTTATATGCTGATAACTTTATAATAAAAAACGAGCAGGTTAAAACCTCTTGAATGTTACTCAGGAGGGCGACCTTGACAACATATGTCATGGTCAAGGTCATCGGAGGTGCCTCCCCTAAACGTAAGGTTTACCAAGGAAGCTACATATGAAATTCAATTTTTAAAACCTAGAGTAACTAATTTCACGTTTATAAAATTAACACTTGTACATTTATCTACCTTTGTATTCTTACTCTCTTGTATGTAAGCAAACACGCCAGAGATTATGCAGATTAAGGCTATGATAAGGCCTAACCATTCATTACCACCGCCCGTACCTTCAACCAGGATACTAATACCATATAAAAGAAAGCACAATGCTGAGCACGCCCATAGCAGAGTAGCGAATCCGTGAAACATGCATTTTATAAACTTTATATATTCTGGAGTTACTTTAGGAGGAGTTAAAGCATTTGGTCCCACTCTAAGGAAAACGTTATTTGCTTCTTCTTCGGTCAATCCCTTAGCCAAATTGGTGTTTAATTTTTCGCACAATTGTTCTAACGAAATCATATGATCTTTGGTACTTAGTTCTTGATGAAGATCTTTTATTTCATCGTCGGTAAGCCTTTTCTTAACAAGTTGACTAGAAGTTGCTTGCGACACTATCGACATTTTAGATGTTAATTGAATTGTGTTTAAACGAATCTCGCAGAAACTATAACGTGGGCACATCTGAATATTGCTTTTAAGATTCAACTATTTAATGTTTTTGAGTCATGGCCTACTTGCTCGATTTCATGATCTTCCGAAGAACTAAGAATTTGATGCTTTTATTAAATTCAAAACTATCGAGAAATTTATTATTTGCGTATCATATTTTATAGAAGAATAAATTAACTTTCGACTTCGTTATAGGTTTTGAAGGGTTTGAGTTATTTACGAGATAAACATGCAATTATGCATCGGGACGTAAAGCCGAGCAACATTTTAGTAAATAGCGCCGGAGAGATCAAGATTTGTGATTTCGGCGTTTCGGGACAATTAATCGATTCCATGGCCAATTCATTTGTTGGAACAAGAAGTTATATGTCGGTAAGAAATTATTAGGGTTAATTAGCGTTTTTAGTTTTCATGTGATATCTCAATCGTGCTTTTTTTTTACAAAATTTCGTGTTTTTCTAAAACTAAGGATAACAGAGTAATTTTGTTTCTGGATTCGTTTTTGGGATACGGAATTGGACAACGTTATTATTATTTAAGATTTCTATGAGATAGACTTCATAAGTCATGTTGTTACCAAGTGTAATTTATTTGGTTTTCTCGTTTTCAGCCAGAAAGGCTTCAAGGCACACATTATTCAGTACAAAGTGATATTTGGTCCCTAGGATTGTCACTTGTCGAAATGGCCATTGGAATGTACCCAATTCCACCTCCAGATGAAAAAACTTTAGCTGCGATATTTAACACTCCACCAGGCCAACCACCAGCAGATAATACTACTACAAATAATGCTTCTACTCCAACAACACAATCACCTGGACATAGTTAGTTTCTCTTTTTCTTGTACAGTAGAACTCCATTCATTGGAACGAAATTTTCGTCACTGCCCGATTTAGTGAACTTCTGCTAAACTCTTATTATCTAAACATCAGTTACATAGACATTTATTACGCACGAAAATGTCCTCAAACACATTCTTTAACTCCTTGCGGCACAGCATTCCAGATAATAAAATAGACCCATGTTGCATAGAAATTTTATTGCATTTTAAATTAAAAAAAATTGGTATATTTTTATTAACACTAGATTTACCAGGTATTTAAGTATACCTATTTCTACCAAAACCAGTCAGAATGACTGGTCTGTAGAAAAAGGGTTTAGTGAGGTTTTCAGTCTTTATTTACTTTTAAAAAATGACAAAAAAAAATTAATAATATTAATTATAATACATAAATAGATTTATTGACATTATCAATTAATCGAACGCTTAATTGTTTATAGTTCATTGGTCACAATTTTTGCACATGCTGATTTTGCTCTGTGTGCACTTTCTGCATACATTTTTTTGCATATATTGCAAATAGTTGTGGTTTTATTATTATTGCAATATCCTATTTGACACCATTTACGTATAGGAGCAGTGCCACTTGAACTTGGTATATTAGATTCTTGTGGTTTTTCCCTTGAAGTCTGATATTCAGAAACAAGTTCTTCAGCTAGATGAAACAAAAAGTCTTTCCTGGATATATTTTCATCTGTCGTGTTCTTATGCAATATCCAGCAATTTATTCCAGCTAAATCTAAAACATTAAAAAAAACTTGAAGTGGCCACCTTCTGGAACCTTATTTTACAGTATATTTTCGTGCCATTTGGTCAGTGACATCGACACCAAATTTTGTGTTATTATAAAAAGACACAGTTTGGAGTAATTTCTTGTTAGTTTTGTCAATTTTTACGCGTTTGTGTTTTGTACTTAGTACAAGTACTTTCTTATTTGGTTTACTCTTATAAACTATAAGTGAACATCCATTTGATTCGTACAACAACGTTGAGAAACAAACCATGCTATTTTTCGTCTGTTTGCAAATTTTCGGGATTTCCCTCCTGTTTGCACGTATTGTTCCAAGCAACGAAGTATTTTTAGATAATAATTTCAATGCCAGATTCTTTACCAAACTGGTAAAGAAATTGGCCATTGTTATGGTTCTATCTTTCAAAGTATATGGTTCTACAAGTTTCAGTACAACATATTCACTTAGTGGAGTTGATGAATCTCGAGCCACATCTTTTTCTAAATAAGGAAAGCCACTTATTACATATTTAGTTTCAACGTCAGACGCCAGCCAAAATTTTATGCCAAATTTATAAGGTTTGTTTGGCATATATTGTGTGAACCTGCATTTGGCCTTGGTTAGAAAGAGTTGCTTATCCACCGTAATATAAGCTTCTGGTTTGAAGCAATTTTGGCTATTTTCAATAAATTTATCCCAAACTGTTAAAACTAAAGCGAATTTGTCTCTTTGTAAACGTTTACTCAACTGATTTCTTTTGTCGAAACGAATGTAACGTAAAACTTTGGTCCCCACTTGTTAATCCATAAATATTCAAGTCTCACAGTGTTTCTTTCGTACGCCCCACGTGCATACAATATCGCAATAAACGCCTTCAATTTTGCTTGCGAGGAGAACCTTATGTGTGGCCCAAAACCCTGAGTAAATATACAATTCCAAGGGCTCCTACACGTACTGCATCAGAATCATGATTTTCCTGGAATCATATACTCTGTTCCAAAAAAATGTTGCAGAACTTATCAATTGTTGTAGCTGCCCTAATGTCATTTCATCGCATGAAAACATGCACTAGTCATTTTGACTGGTACTGGTATAAGTGTCAATAACAAAAAATATATTTGTTACTTATATATATAAAATAATATACAGTTCATAAAACTGATTCTTTAGTTATAGCTACAAAAGTCATGACATCATTTCGGAAAGAAAATGTTACATGCAGTAGAAATTTTGAATTGAAATTGCAAGACCAGTCAAAATGACTGGTCTGGTAAATCTAGTGTTAATAAAGGTATCACATAATGTAAAAACATAAAAAACAAAAAAAAAGATTGTTGCAATAAACCTTCTGTTTGCAACAATTGATGAACTGTATCGGCATGTTGAATATTGCCAACACAAGTGAATACATTTGCAACATTTGTTAAAGATATTACCAACTGCTTTACGTAAATAAGACGAAATATAAACCTATGGCATATGCAGCTATCACAATATTTCGAGGTGGGACTAAAAATATCCTACCATGCATTATGGTGCATCAAAAAGGTGGGACACTTTTAATCCCAGTGTGCCCCAAAGAGTTAAACGAGCACATTTATGCTATTTATGTAGTTGTCAATGCACATTCCATTGTTAGCTAACAAGCAATGTTCGGAAAAAATAGTCCTTTGCTTATAGTAGTAGTAAAATACATATAAAGGGTGTTCCACCTTTCTCGTTTGTTTCTTATGATAGAAAAAATATCAAAAAGAAAAATTAATTGGTTCGGAGAGGGAAATATCGTGAGAGCAAAAAATATTTTGAATGTAAATTTATCTTTCAGATACAGGTAGTCCACGACCAATGGCTATTTTTGAATTATTAGATTATATTGTTAACGAACCACCCCCAAAACTGCCAGCTGGAATTTTCAGCGATACTTTCACAGATTTCGTTGACCGCTGTCTGAAAAAAAATCCTGCTGAAAGGGCAGATTTAAAGACATTAATGGTATGTAATTTACCTGTGAAACAAATATTCTGTTTCTTATAATCGTTGTACATTAATTTTTAGAATCACGAATGGATAAAGAAGGCTGAATCCGAAAACGTGGATATTGCTGGTTGGGTATGTCGCACAATGGATCTACAACCGACTACTCCAACACGTTTAGCAAACGTACAATCCTGAATAAATGTCACTCTTACATACTTGACTACCTATATACGCGTTCAGTACTCTTAAGTGAGTTTCAGTTTCTTTTCGTTCAATTGGTATAAACAGTGGCGTTTATAAATCCCCTCTGTTATGATACTCTCTAAAACAGAAAGTGATTCGCGATTTTGAAAATGGACTTCGCACACTAGAATCTGCCATTGTTTATCCATTATATTTTATACAACATTGCTCAGTTATTCATTAACGTTTGAGCAAAAGCATTTATTACATAGAATTTTAAGATATTAAGATTTTAATATTGATATTACGGATTTATTCCCTTTAAAATAACAGAGTTTAATTATTTAAAGGTATAAACTGTTAGTGTTTAATTTTATCCAATTATTATATTTTAATTAATCGTAGAATTTAAATGTAGGGCATTATACAATATTATTTTAATAATATACTACAGTCTGATTTCAAAGTCGCGATGAAAATCATGTAAAATTTAATATACACGATTGAGATGTAAGTACTTTCAATGTATATACGATATTATAAAAGTATACAAATCTATTTTGACATAGTTGCATAAAATACGTCACTGTGCTTGAATTTATTTCATTTCATGTATTTTGTGTTTTTATCTTCTGCTTTTGTTGAAAGTATGTAAGATAAACGATTATCGTTATAAGTTTAACGTTATTGTACACTCATGGGCAAATTGTGTTCCCTATGATGATACTAGGATACATAAATGGGCATCGGATTTATGAGAACATAATTCGAGAAAAAGAAGTGTTAACTAGAGATCAAGTTACTAGTATAACATTTGTACCTGACATTCTCGTAGAGCATTATTTACATCATTGAAAAAAGACTTTTGTTCAATCATTGCCAATGTCATACTATTTTTTACCAAGTATTGGTCCACAATTAAACATAATTTTAAACTGTATTTGAATAAAACAGTATTTCAAGTAGTGGATATTATAAGTATTTAAAGAAATGAATCATATAAATGCTCATAGTGCTGCTTAGAATATTATTATATAAACTTGTACTATTAACGGTATTGTTTAATGTAACGGACATATAACAATGTTTTGAGCAGTACTCTATTGTAATCTGTATAATTGAACAATGATCTCTGAAGTACTATTTTATTTAACATCAGTTAATATGAAACTTCCATGTCATAGATAAAAATATTTTAAAATAATATAAAAAATGCTTTATCTAAATAATTAATCTCTTTTTAAAAAGATATATTAAAGTAGTTAGTATGATGTCTTTACAAATATGTTAATTTGTCATATTATATCATGCATTGTGGTCTGAAACATGACATTTCATAGGTGCAAATGACAAAATAATTTTGATGTGTATTCATATGTTTACACAACATTGAATACGAACAATATTGTATGTACTGTATAGATAGTTGTGCATCAAGTCTTTCTTGTGCAATTTTTGTCACCTGTATTTAGAAAATAAGTCATTCGTTTGGCTATCATCATATTTACACATACTTCAGTAATTAAGTGTAAGTAGAAGATGTTAATAATTTTTAATATAACCAGAAGTAAAAAAAAGTAGCTTAATAAGGTTTACATTTTTTAAATCTTTATTGAAAAAATGAAATATTATAAATGTAGAAATTGATGATTTCGTTGTTGCAGTCCAGCTATTCTGCTGATTTTTTATAGTCAAATAACATTTGGTCTGTACTGATAGTAAGGTGTTTAATATTGTACAATCTAGTAAACATAGTTGCTTATCATTGTAATGTACTGACAAAGAAAGTCTATATGTATATACTGTATCAATTAATCTAAACATCCTTACTCCGTTTATGCAAACATTCTAACTTTTGTTTATTTTATTTTTAAAAATGCCGCAATGGAATTATCAATTGAGAATGGTAGGGATGGATTTATCATTATACATATATGATGTTATAGTAAATTACCCCGAGTTATACTTACTCGTGTTTGCTTAGTCATTACTTTTTTGTAGAAGCTATTGCAGGTGTAATAATATTAGCCTTTTCCGATGTGGCTAAAAAAATATCGGAATGTACTACGAGCATATTGTGATGTTTGCAAGCACAGTGAGAATACTCACTTATGTGCCTCAGCGTAAGACGCCCAAGAACTGACCTTTCGTATTATGTTTATATGTCTGATAATGATGTGCGTAACGCTATTTATTATAACATGACTTTCATGGTATATTATAAACTAAAAACATTTTCAATAGTGAAGTTCTGTTACAAAAAAGATGTAAGATATGATAATATACAGTTAAAAATTCTATTCATAAAGCAGTGAATCTTAACTGCCAAATGAATGATTACTTCTGGCACTTATTAAAAATATATGGATATTCCTTGTTGCAAATTTATGCATAATAATTGCCGTTGTATCGATTCACTGTCTAAATGTTGTAATTATTCAAAGAATAAATTTATCGTACATTGAAATAGGATTTTTCTATTTTGAAACCCGAATGATTAAAGATAAGGCGCATCAAAATATTTATGAAACTACATTAGTTTCATTAAACACAACACGCTAAAAGTTCAGTTTTGTTAATAATATTTTGAGTATATCGATACAGGGTGTTCGGCCACCACTGGGAAAAATTTTAATGGGAGATTTTAGAGGCCAAAATAAGACGAAAATCAAGAATATCAATATCTTGACTGAGGCTTCATTAGAAAGTTATTAAAAAATTTCAAATCATTCTGAAAAAATTATTTTTGGTTGCGGGGCTCAATTACAATCATTTTTGGTGAATACACATATCTCTGAAATCCTACCCACTTACGAAAAAAAAATTCGAGTAAGTACTGGAATTTGTAGGCGAAATTAAAAAATTTCAGATCATACTAAAATAATTATATTTAGTTATAGGGGTAAATTACAAGCATTTTTTGTGAATAGAGATACCCCGAAATCCTATGCACTTTCGAGAAAAAAGTTCTTTACCGAAAATCTAATGTGAGGCCAGAAATGATTCCATGCGAATCTTTAAAATGTCATAACTCTTGAACGGATTGGAAGATTTTAATTTTTCAAAATGCAAACAACGCGTATTTTAGTGGAGAATATGTAAAAATTCCAACAATATTGAAAACGTTGTTCCTTGGCACGGTAAAGTAGGAAAAACCCCCTAAAACTGGTTCAATTTTCGAACGGTCATAACTCCTATAATAGTAACAGTATCTCATTGAAATTTTTTTCTTAAACAGAGCCCATGGGTACATACAAAAAAGTATTGGACAACTTTTCTGTAGAGCGTCAAACAGATATATTAAAAATGAAAAACAAATTTTTAAGAAAACTCGACAAAGTTAGACCTAAATTTTTCGGCAAAAAAAAATTTTCAAATCGTTCTAAAAAAATTATTTTCGGTTTCGGGGGTCAATTACAATCATTTTTTATCATTAGACATATCCTCGAAATCCTACCCACTTTCTAGAAAAAAATTCAGTACGGGCGGAACTTCAAACGTTAATAACTTTTTAACGAAGCCTCTATCAACAAATTAGTATTCTTGATTTTCGTCTTATTTTGGCCTCTAGAATCTCCCATTAAAATTTTTCCCAGGGGTAGCCGAACACCCTGTATAAGTTAAAATATTGTGTTATAAATGAAGTTTAATATTTCCTATGCAAAACATTATTTTTATACAAATCTTAAATATTACGTGTTTTATTGCAATACAAACTGTGTACAAAAAGTATTATGTCTATTAGGATGTCCCAGTCAATATTGCATAGTTTTAGTCACTGTTTTTTGTTATTTTTAAAATATTTACCAAAATAAAGTAAAGTATGTTTTAATATTATCTTTGTAATCTTTTGGTTGTAGGTACGAAATCTACATTAACTATATGTAAAAACGGCGAAATTTTGTCGAACTTTTCTAGGTTCACAGAAGTCTTCCCAACGAATATTTTCAAAATTGTATTGTTAGTTCGATTAAGAGTAACTGTAGCAGCTTTTTCTAATGTAAGATTCGTGACGTCACGGCACTCTGACAAATCCAATAATTCTAACTGAGGTGCAGATGCAATAAGTTCAATAAATGTGTTATCTGTTAAATTGCACTGACGACATTCTAATTTTTTCAGATTATACATATCTCGCAAACTAATATCCGTCGACGTCACCATCAAGTAATTCATTATCAATGTTTCTAATTTTGGTAATGTTGCTACAACAGTTATTCCAATATTGTTGATGTAATAACAATCTGCAATACATAAGAAATTACATATACATGAAATATTTTGAAAGAACATTCAACTTACCAGTAATATCTATGTAAGTAAGGCGTTGGCATTTTGGTATCAATTTACACAAAAATTCGTCTGTAATGCCTTCATTTTCACAGATATTTAGAACTTCAAGATTAGTTAGTTCCGTGATATATAACATATCACTTGATTCGATTGAACAAGAAATGTTAGAAAGTCCTAATGTTTTTAAATTCGTACAGCATGTGCCAATTGTTTGGACGGCATTACTAGAAATACCAAAACAACTATCTATCGTAAGACTTTCCAGATTCTGTAATTTTTCGATTGCCTATAAAAGTATAAATGATACATTTTAAACAAGATCTTCAAAAGATAAGTAAAACAAAGTACAAAAATGGTTTGTTTACCTGAGATAAATAGCTTTCTTGCAGATACTCACATTTTATTAAAACAATTTCAATTGTTTCCAATGGTAAATGTAATAAACACCATCCACATATTTTACTAGCGATTATATTCAAATATCGTAACTTTTTATTTACTTTAAAAAGCTTTTGTAAGTCTTTATCGCAGATATACTTAGTAGGACCAAGACTAAGTTTTGTAATATTATGACAATTACTTGTTAATGAACTTATACCAGCTGCAGAAACAGTCAAAGAAGTAAAATTGATTCTTTGTAAATTGGGACAAAATTTCCCAACAATGGTCACTGTGCTTTCATGTAATGAATAAGGTGCTAAAGATAAATCTATTTCATTTAAAAATCTACCACACCGCAACAATACTTTGCGAAGACCATTCTTATTAAGTTTTGATCTCTCAATGTATGATGCTGAGCTCCGCATACACGATATATCCAGTTTCTTTACTTTACACCAAGATTCTTGGATCACTGCTCTCCATCGTTTGCACACTATAATCATTCAAAAATAAACAAAATGAATTGATTCTTTATAAATCTGTTCCTCGTTAACTTATTTAATTTATTAAAACAATACATATATATTTAAAAAAAATCATATATCCTTGCCTCCTTCAATTCTAATTCTGTCCACAATTGGTAACTGAAGAAAAACATGCATCAAACAGTCATCATTTAATATTTGGATGCTATTATTTGTAATGTCGTTTTGTACAAAATCTTGACTACATTGTTCATTTGACTGTTTTTTGTCAGATTTTTGCCAATTTTTATTATAGTACTGATTTTCTATATTATCTGGCTGATGCCAAGAATCAGCTGGTACAATTCTCAAATTTCTGTTATGTAGTATTATGTATCTGCATCTAGCTCTACGGATTATTGTACTCTATCAACACTGCAGTCTCTTGATATGAAATTTCATCTTCGTTTTTTATTCTACGATTACCTTGCAGCAGATTCGACACTGTCAAAAGTAATAAACGCATAGTTACTTTTTCCATCGTTTCTTCGTAAAAAGCAATTCTCAACATGCCCATATTCAGAAAACAATTTAATGAGATCTTTGTACGTGGTCTAAAAAGAAACACTGATATTATTTACACATTTCTCGCAATATATGTAAATATGTTTTACTGCATTAAATCATAGTACAAGAGATATAAATACAAACCCTTTCTGCTAAGTTACTAATGAATAGTTTTCGAATTGGTGTACCGTCTTCTGTCTCTGTAGAATTGTCTGTACACATAAGTGAGTCTGTATCATAAGAAATTCAAACTTTGATAAAACTTCAAGTCATGAAATAATTTTATAAAATTGCCAAATAATTTATAGTTTTAATTACCATTCTCAATATAGTTATAGTAATCGTAAAGAAAGCAAACGCACAATGATAGTGATGATGTCTTTACATAACTTTCCATTGTCATTGTTAACAATGTTTCTCTGTTACAAATTATTTATTTTTCCTTTTATTCTTAATTTATCATCTACAAATCAATATTATGATTAAAAAATAATGACACATTTAGCACTAGATTCATGGGCACTGGTTGCGCATATTTTTATTGTAATTTGCTGTGTTGACAGTTACATTAAAATGCAGTTTTTCTTTTAATTGGAGTATACATTCATATCGTTGCTTCAAGTAAATTCAACATAAATTGCTAACAAATAATATTTATGAGTTCTGTACTGTTAGGTTTAAAATTTGAATGCGTAGAATTAACACAATTACATAAACCATAGTGTTAATCTGTTAATCATAAATATACGATACTTGACTAAATTCAATATTATGGCATAATCTCTATAAATTTTTGTTAAAGATAATACATAAATAAACAGAAAATACTTTGAGTATTATATATTCTTCAATGACACAAACTACAATAAAGAATAAAAACAGTAAAATCAAAAATCAATTTGGAACTCCACAGTTATTAAGAATTTGCTTTTCTTATCTTGTGAGTTTTGAATAACAGAGTTTACACACTCATAGTGTTTCACGCGATACTTTGGACCTGTTGGTTAAAATCATTTTCATAAGTAAAATTATCATATTACAAGATAAAAGCAAATAGAAAACAATTAAAATTGCTAGAGAATCAGATTATGCAATTATTTATGTTAAACATAAAATCATTGTTTAAAATTTTAATTCAAAATAATTAAGTAATTTTATAAACAATTTTGCGAAATATTATAAACAGGCATCGGATATAAGATTGTAGCAAAATGCAAGGCACCATGAGGTACGAAGATTAAACTAACATAATATCCAAAATTATTTTTATTTGACAAAAATATTACTAACTACATACATTCGAATCATATATCACCAGAAGTGTTTTTAACAATAACGATGAACTAAACCGTCAGATTAGTAAAACGTAGATAGAGTGACGTCCGCGTGACGTCCGTCTCCCCACTCTGGCCCAGAGATGCCAGAAAAGCACCGCCGGGTGCACACGCCCCCATGCCAGATACGCGTACGTGAGCTCGTGGAGTTTCGGAAAGTCGACAAAGGCAAACTGACGCATGCCCTCTTTCTCGATTCTCCGAAGCTGCCCGAAGTAATTTCGGATCGCCTCGTGGGAGTCGAGAGAGAAAAGCTCACATTTGCCTTCTCGCTCTAAACAACTGAAATCCGACCTCCCGTCAACGGCATACGATTTGGATTCTCGAGCCGAGATTCTCGACTGCCCAGGCATTTTTACTTTCCGACCTATGTAGGCGCACATAAGCAAAGTACCCATAATGAAAAAAAAATTTTGTAAAATTTATTTTACGGAAATACACGTTTTAAGACCTCCTGATCATATTTTAATTATTGAAAAAAAAGACATTTTTTTTTATTCCCATGTATGAGCACACATACAGTTACTCATAGAATTGAGCGTACAACTATGTAGTTAATAAAAACTTGTGGGAAAATGAACATAAACAGACATATTTAAAAGTAAAAACGCATTATACATTTTACTTGTACATTTCAGCAGATAATGCGTGAAGAAATTTTTAAACAATATTGATTGTTCATCTATGTTTAACAAAAACTGTAAAAGTATGCTTATTTTATCGTCACAAAATTGAGCGTACAGTTTATTAGTAACTAGAAAACTAACTTTTGTAAAACTTCTCATGGTTTACAATTCATTCGTTTGTATCTAATAACATAGTTCCGTTGCTATGATACGTTTGATTTTTATTTGTCATTGTTTATTAGCGAAAATTTGCACTATGGCTTCACAAAGCTCAGAAACTGATATTTCTGTGTGAAAATTAGTTGTCAAATTGTATTGTCAAGGTAAATCTCTAAGGCAAATTGGAAAAACAATAGGTAGAGCCCACTCTACTGTACAAAAAGTTATTAACAATTACAAATACAATGGTTGTTCGGTAAACGAAAGCTCGCTCATTCCGCTGGCCAACTCGAGTTGTTTCCGGTCCTTTATGTTGCCAGATGCGGGATCGGTACTACGTTGCAAACGTCTTCGAGTCTCTCGCATCTGGCAAATGTCAATGTAAAAGAATAGCATTTTTGGAAAACGAAAGAAACGCGACACTCGAGTTGACCAGCGAAGGGCTATATTGTTCTGCGGGTGGTACGGTCGTCGAGGCCAAATGTAGGCACCGACGACAACGGCCATCGCCGACACGCGGAACAATATAGCCATAAAAACAGACGTAGACCAGACGCAACCCCTTGTTGCGTGGATAATCCGGAGTTCCGTTTCTTCCTCGATAAATTAACGCGGCCGTCGACTTGGGGAGGAAACCTCGGCCACCCTCGCCAGCGTGGCCTGGGACTTTCCTCCACCACCGAGGTGAAGGAGGAGTTTGCTGCCAAACTGGGGCAGGAAAATGGGTCCTCCTCTCCCAAGTCGATGGCCAATCAATCGACTCACGATTCCACAGAGGAATTTGCAAAACACCCCCAAGTGTACCTTTTGGAGGGGATCTAAGCTGAGGAGGAAACGGACTCCGGACACATTTTGCATTCTAGTTTCAGTCGTCAACCGACAAACCTGTTTCAATTCTCGGTTCAGTCGTTAACCGACTAAGTCTCACAAGTCTAACTAACAAGTCTGTAACAGTACAGCAGTTTTACTTGAGTTGAACGCATTTTGTTAAAGTAAGCGCGGGGGAAACAGTTCCTCCCACAGTTCAACGCGCTTGAAAACATTCATACAGTCCACTTTGTTATTATTAAAAATAAACCATTTGAAAACTCTCCAACACGACGACATCGCATTCACTCCAATCCGACCTACAACAATTCGGGCGCGAACAATGGTACACTGCATAATCAGCCAGGACGCGGAAGGAAAAAAATTCTCACTGGAACTGACGAACGGTACATAATACGACAAATTAAAATTAATCCAAAAAGTAGTGTACCAAAATTAACAACAGATGTTTCATCGAGGATTAGAAAATCGATATCGACAGAAACTGTTCGTAGGGTGCTATGCGATAAAGGCTATCACGGTAGGGTAGCAAGGAAGAAGCCTTATATTTCTAAGGTGAATAGAATCAAGCGTTTGGAATTTGCAAAAAAATATGTAAGTTGTGATATAAATTTTTGAAAGAACGTAATATTTTCCGACAAAGTTAAAATTAATTTATTTAATTCGGATGGAAAAATAATAGTATAGAGACAACTGAATTCAGAGTTCAATCAAAAGAATACGGTTCCTACTGTAAAACACGGCGGAGGTTCAATAATGCTGTGGGGATGTATGGCAGCAAGTAGAGTTGGTAATAACGAATTTATTGAAACAACTATGGACAAACTAAAATATCTTGATATTTTGAAAACAAATTTGAAATCGTCAGCTCTAAAATTAAACATGCCAGCCATATATTATTTCCAACAGGACAATGATCCTAAACATACATCGTATATTGTTAAAGAGTGACTGCTATATAACGTGCCAAAATTATTACACACTTCACCACAATCGCCGGATATTAATCCCATTGAGAATTTGTGGCGAGAATTAAAATTACAATTAAATAAATGTAGTTATAGTAATAAAACAGATGCTAAACGCAAAATAGTAGAAATATGGAATAGTATTCCGTGTTCGACTTCAGAAACGTTAGTCGAGTTTATCCCAAAATGTTTGAGAGCAGTTATAGATGCAAAAGGATTTGCAACAAAATATTAAAATAAAATCTGTTAGTTATTTTTGTTTAATTTGATCTGCTGTATGCTCAATTTTGTGACACTAAAACAAGAACAGTTTTGTTGCTTTTGCTAAATAGAAATGAATAATTAATTTTATTTAAGACTTTTTCCACTAATTGTCCGTCAAAATATATGATCAAAATAAATATTATATTTTTACTTTTAAATATGTCCGTTTATGTTCATTTTCCCACCAGTTTTTATTAACTACATAGGTGTACGCTCAATTTTGTGAGTAACTGTATGTATATTATTAATACGATTTTTGAAAATCAAAATACTTTAAGATTGAAAATTAATAAATTAAAATGAGATTCCACTCTTTACCAGTATTGTGCACGCTGTGGTATTCTTCAATAAGAAGAGTTCTTACTTTTATAACATAAACAAAACAGTAGAATTAATAATTGCAGAAATTAATTAATAATGATTTTCCTCGATTGTTTTGAAATAACCGTATCAATTGGTTATGACGAACTAAATAGAACTAACTAGAAACAAAGGAAAAGTGATCCCGTTTGCCAGTTTAATACAAAGTATGGGTTGAGTCGCATGGTGACAGCCGAAGCGTTTGGACGTGTTATAAATTCCGTGCGTATCGTGAATGCGAGTGCCATCGCGAGTATTTCAAGTGAAGTTTCTCATTCGTTTAGCAGTGCATTAAGTGCAAATCAGTATCATCCGTACACGGGAGCGTGCAAGCTCCTGTGGTCATTCTCTCATAAGCATCTCGGTGCAACCTTTTCACCGAAATGTTCTCTGCAAAGAACACCCCCAATGTACAGCAACGTCGAAGCTACACCAACGTCCTCCAAAGTGACAGTTTCCCGAAGAAAGAACAAGCAATCGTAATTGAAGCCAAAGAGGGAATACAGATAAGGGATTACGTCCAAGCCTTGGGAAAACTAACCAGCCCAAGCAACATTCGATTTATATCTAGAATTTCTAATGGCAGAATTTGTGTATTCCTCGCTACCAAAGAAACCGCGGATAACATCACAGGTAAATACAATCATATTAAAATCGACAACACAGATCTCTATCTGAGACCGCTCATCAACAAATACCAACGCATTATACTTTCAAATGTTTACCCAACGATTCCACATGCAACAATAGAAGAATGTTTCGACGAGCTGGAAATCAAAAGAGAATCGGCCGTTTCCTTCCTAAGAGCTGGCATAACAGAAGAAGGCTACGCACACATACTTAGCTTCCGTCGGCAGGTGTACATACGCCCAGAAGACGTACACAAGGTACCAGAATCTATGAAAATAGAACACGATCAAACAACATACTGGGTGTACCCTTCTACCGAAGCAGTAAAATGTTTCATATGTAAGCAAGAAGGACATGTCGCCAAAAATTGTAAAAATAACGAAGACCGCCCAATGTGCAACGACACATCGAAAGGAACCCCCTCCGCCACTACTAAAGAAACGACTAAGATTGTTCCCCATACCAGCAACGCAAACGTCTCCCATGAACCAACAAGGGAAACGCAAAACAGAACAATGGAAAACATGGAAATACCACAACACAAAATTTGGAAATGGTACAAAACATGGAAACAGACCAAACTCCTTCGTCATTAAAAC